GTTTAAAGTATATTTTTCACACAAAACTAAAGGGATAAACGGGTTTTGACCCTGGGTATGCTGGCCTGACAGAACAGCGGCCTAGAGGTTAGGGCATTTCCCCTGGAATCCTGAGGTTCTGAATTTAATCCCCACTCCCACAGACCGCCACTCTGGGTCCCTGAACACTCTTAACCCCACACTGCTCCCCAGGCACCGCGCAATGGCAGCCCACTGCTCTCCAAGGGGATGGGTTAAATGCAGAAGTTAATTTCTCCATTGTGAGATCAATAAAGTTAAATTATTATTATTATTAAAAGGATATTTTTAAATATTTAAAAAGTCCCATCTTAAATTTCTGATGTCATGACCTGAAGCAAACAGCACGGTTTCAAAACAGGGAGTGTGTCAGGACTCCTGTTTTTGTATCTGTGTTTTTCTGTGTTTGTCTCCCTTCCTCCACCAGGAGGCGCCTGGTTCTGGTCTGCCTCCTCACACACCTGCTGATGGTTTCCTCGTTAAACGGAGTGTTCCTAAGCTGCTGACTGCCACTACTTCGACGCCAGAGGGTTTTCCAGTTTTGGGTACTCTAGCCAAGTTGTGTTTGCAGAGTCCAGCTGAGTTTTTGGTCAACCTGAGTTTAACTTAGTTTTGTCTTCACCTCTTGGCAGGAAGTTGTCCTGCTAACTGAATCTCTCGGACCTTCACACCCCGGAAAGGATAAACTGAGCTTCAAACAGGAGGTTTGGATCCACTTTCCCCAAGAGATTGTTTGAGCTTTCACTGAGAAAGGAATTATTCTCCACTACGACCCGTTCAAGTACCGCAGGAAATCTGAGTGGCAGTCAGTTTCTCCGTTCTCCAACTATCAACTGCATTCTGGGTAAACCCTGTTCCGCCCTCCACCGAATCAGACAAACACTGGAACTACACAGACAGGAGTCAAGGATTCAACAACTTCTCTGGAAACGTGAGTCGGCAACGAAAACCTCTTCTCCAAGTTTCACGAGTCAAATTCCCCACTGAGCCTGAACTAACCGCTGTATCTTCCCCTCACTTTACAGTTCCGGTTGAGCAGTGTTCAGAGCAACACTTCTCCCCCTGTTCACTTCGTCAATAAAACCCGTTAAACCTTTACCTGGTCTCTCTGTTAGGTTTTCTGCATTTTTGGGTCAGAACTTTGAAACATCATGACAGAGAGAAGCATGGGTTTAATCTGGGTTTATCTATCTTTTTAATCCTGTATTTTTTTTTGTTTTGTGACCAGTTTATGAAAATGTCTCACTTCACTCTTAGTTCTTCATCTTTATGGTTTTGTTGACGCTCGGAGAAGATTGGGTGACATCAGCAGAGCCAATCCTGGGCCTGAGTTACTCCAGAAGGACAAATATGAGGGGTGTCAACAGAGAATATAACATCTCAATCAGCAAACTGATGTTTGATTAGATAAAAGCTTTATTAAATTATCCTCTTTTAAACCTACACTTTCATCTTTGGTCAGTTTTCTATTTAAACCTTTTAATTAGGGCTGAACGACTGCCAATAATAGAAATTGTGATGATTTTTTAACCAAAATCGCGATTTTATTTTTATTTTCCTTTGCACTAACCCTAAACTTGAAGATGTTTCACCCCAGGCTTTTGGTTTTATTGTTCCAGGACTTTACTGTAACCATTGTGAGAAAGAGTGTTTACTTCTACTTCCATGCCTGGATCTGCTGCTGGCTCTCTACCTTTCTGTTTCAGTACAAACCAACTTCCAGCGTTTAATCACCACCTAAAGGGCTGGAGGGAGGAATTTAGTGTTTTACTCTTATTAAATGTAGTGTAATTAAAAACCAGTGCCTCTGCGATTTGAAAATTGCGTTTTGTTATATTGCGATTATATTGCAAATGCAATTAATTGCCCAGCCCAAGTTTTAATGAAACCAAGTTGACCTAAATGATGGAAAAAGTGGAGCCACGGCTGCTTAGACACAATTCTCTCAAAACTCTGCAGCGTTTGGCCTAAAATGAAGCTGTTGATGAAGTTTTTTTCATAAACTGACCAATGATGAGAGATCTGCATTATGAATGCTTGGTTTGATCCTGATGAACATGCAGATTTAAAAACACAGAAACCTTTTAGTTACTGCTGCAGCTTTTCTATTTCTGTCCTTTTGAAAATGGAACTAGAAGAGAAAGTGGAAGCATTTCCTGCTCCTCAGCCTGGTATTTATCCGGTCACTGAACCGACAGAAGACAGGTCTGTGATTTCAGGTGGCTCAGCGTAATGATCTGGCTCCATCTCTGCTCAATGAGAACGCCATCAGCTGCCAAATGAAGCAAACACACGGAGAAACTCTGCCCTGGTCTCACATGCATGCAGCTAAGTCCCGTTTGTTATCCAGGCCATGATGTACTGCCAAATACTGCCGGGCTTCGTACAGAGGATGTGTGCAGACATCATCATTACAAGTTCAACATTTATTCCACATACACACCGAGTCATTTTAGCCCCTTAAAACATGATCAATCATTTATGAACGGAGAATCAGAAGAAAAAAAGAATTAAAGTTCAGACTTTGACTTCACTGCAATACGGAAGAGGATTAGGGCCACTGAAAAAATAAGAAAGTTAACTGATTTTTAAATTTAATTTCAGTTTAATATGGGAAAAATATCTCGGAATTCTGAGATTAAAGTCAGAATTCTGACTTTAATCTCAGAATTCTGACAGCTAACAAACATGTTAGCATCAAGCCATAGCCATGTCTGTTTTAGAGACTAGCTCTCTTGTTTTAATGACCTTCTGCTCCTCCATTAATGAGGGGACCCCTCGGGCACGTAAAAAGTTGCCTAATTCCGTAATTTTCCACCAATGTCTCACTGGCCACCTCAAACGACTCACATCTTTGTCAGTGAAGCTGAGTGCTCCAAACTCTGCCTTTATGGTGCCCATCTACATTAAAATCCAAAATTCTGAGATTAAAGTCAGAATTCTGAGAAAAAAGTCAGAATTCTGCAATTAAAGTCAGAATTCTGATTTTAAAAATCAGTTAACCTTTTTTTTTTTCACTGGCCCTAATCCTCTTCCGTACTGCAAAAACGTTTTGAAAATGAGTAAAAATTTCTCAAAAGAACATTGCATAACCTTTGGCCACTAGGGGTGCTAGACCTAAACTGCCTGTATTTTTTTCCTACGGTACCTTAATTTTCGGACTATAAGCCACACCTGAATATAAGCCGCAGAAGTTAAATTGCATGATTTGTATATATACAATCCGCACTGGACTATAAGCCGCAGGTTTTTTATTTTTAATTACCATATGGTTCGTGCACAGAGAGGATTGTCAGCAAAGAGGCAACTGTTTGGGGAAGCTTCTATTTATTAACATTTCAACACAATTGAATTGAGACAATTGTTCCCACTGGCGTCTCCAACGTCTCACCATTGACTCCGTGATTCCAAGGTTACGTGCAGCGGTTCTATTTCCTTCATTTACTGCCAAATTGGCTGCTTTAACTTAAAAGCTGCATCGTATGCATTTCAACGTTTGTTTTCCATAATGAGGGTGTCACACAAACTGTCTTGCGCTCGTAATGTCTGTCTTTCTCAGAGTATGCTTCCGGAGGATGTCCGCATTCCAGCGCGCGCGGCTACTTGTGTGTTAGCAGCAAATGTAACGTCAACATGGTGGATGGTATAATCCATAGATTTAGGTACCGTATTAGCCTAGTGGACGTTAGCTTTAAAAGTCCATAGATAAGCCGCATTGTTATATAAGCCGCAATGGGGAATGGGGAAAAAGTCGCGGCTTATAGTCCGAAAATTACAGTAGTAGCCATTCAAAATGTCCCCACTTTCCTTGATAGGTCCTTGGCTGGTCCCCTAATATTCCTTTTTAAACATCAATCTTTGCCCTAAAATATTCTTTCTTTCATGATTTGTGGACATTAGGATCTAAAGAGAAGCGTCATCTGTTAATCAGTGAAAGGTTGGAGTCAGCATAAAACATATGCAGGAGGGGGTCACTCCAGTGGCTGGAAGTTGGGGGGGACTCAATGGGAGTTGCAGGGAAGTGGGCTGCCATTCGGCTGGCGTTTGACTTGGAAGAGCCATTTTGAATGGCTGCTACTTAACTAAACATCAAAAATATTGACTGATCTATGACTGTATACTAGCAGCAAAGTATTAACTTACCAGGTTTTCATCTGTGTGGCTCTGGCTTCTTCTTTGAGCCTGCGCCAACAAATAAACTCCTTTCCAAGATCGACTTGTTTTTCCCTTGATCCCATTTCAGTTCCCTCTTTTTAGCCTCTTCAGAAGATTTCAACTTTTTCCTTGCCTCAGCCACCACCAGAATTCAAGCAAGCAGAAAAATATTTGACCAAAAGCTTTAGCTCCACGTCTATATAATAGCTTGTGGCTGTAAAGTTCCTTCAGGTCACATGACCTGGTCAACAACAGTGCATCTGCTCCCAACTCACATAGTCAGTATTCCAAGAGGGGAGCCCCGCTCATGGCCCGGGGAATCATTTAATATAACTTATGTGTCTACTATTTAGGTCACAAAGTCTGCGGTGTGCCTTTAAATTAAGTGCATTTACCCTTAATTTGAGCAGGTAAATGAGATGATCTGCCAATGGAATGAGTATTTTTACCATTAAAATAAGATTATTAGATAATATGCACTTGGAGAAAGAGACTGCAATTGTTTTTTTTCTTATTTTAAATGTAAATTGTCTTGTTTTATTGGCAAAGTGTCTCACTAAGCTGCTCAATACAAGAAAAAATGCATCCATTTTAAGAAAAAACTGACTTAGATTTACACTTTTTGCAGTTTTAAAGGCTGAAAGAGTCCTGCTCATGAAAAATAAGAGTTCATTTTACACAAAGTTTATCACTTTTCTAACTTTGTCTGGTGAGCTGATCACAGGTCTAAAACTACTCAGACAGAAAATCTGCCACATCCATGTCTGATCAAGTTTAATATGAACAGCACAGGGGCCACTATGAGTGTGCAAATGGCCGCGCCTCACCTTGGAAGAGGTACTCCTCTGTGTTCATGTCAGGATTGTCTGTAATAATATCAAACGGAGATCTTCCAGCCATCATCTCGAACATCAGCACACCCAGAGCCCACCAGTCCACGCTGAAGCCTGGGGACACAGACAGAAAGACTCTCCATGAACGCAGAAACAGCCGTCAGCTAAAAACAGATCACAGTACGAACAGCCGAGGAAAATACAGGACTTAATTACTCGGCTGCAGCTTCTCACCGTAGTCCTCTCCTCTGAGGATCTCAGGTGCGATGTAGTTGGGGGTTCCACAGAAAGTGCTGGTGGTGTCCCCTGGTCTGATCCCCTCCTGATCGATGACAGCAGCAGGTTAGAAGATTAAAAAAACTGAGGTTACCTGTAATCCCTTTGTTCACACAATGTCAGAGAAAAGTTTTAACTCTTCTGCCTTGCAGACCTTGCACATGCCGTAGTCCGTGAGCTTAATGTGTCCTTCGTGGTCCAACAGAACGTTGTCCAGTTTCAGATCTCGGTAAATGATGCCCTTCTCATGAAGGAAGTTCAGCGCGATGCAGATTTCTGCTGCATAAAATCTGTGGAGAAGAAAAGCGTGTTGGAATCATCAGGTAGCGCCACCAGCAGGCTAAAGCTGTGCACAGCGGGGCTGAAGTCCTGCCTTCAGTGTTGCATCATGAAAATATATGAGCAACTGTAACCCAGGGGTCAGCAGACCGGGGCTCTGGGTCCACATGTGGCCCTCAGCCCCTTACTCTTTAGTGAGCATAGCAAATATCATGTATTTATTATCAGTCGTTGCTAGCAGAATTAGTTTTTAATACAGAACACTGAAAATAAACTTTAACGATCCATCTGATTATCTAGTTTCAGCTGATCTCCTCCAGGGATCAGTAACCAAAACTCTCTGGCTGTAGAACCAAACGTGCTGAGTTTGAATTCAGCAGCTGCGCCCTCCGAAGGCCAGATTCATTGGCCGATTACGTCATGGTCTATGAAAGTAAATCTGTGTCGCTGGGATTTGATTAAAAAATGCCACTAAAATTTAAATGTTGTATGTTTGTACTTACTGTTTCAGTGTTAAAATATATTCAGAACACATTATAGACCTAAAAAAAAATTAATTGTCATTATTTCTACACAATTGAAATTTCATTTGTTATTTTCTCTTCAAGCTAAAAATTCACATTACAATTTAAAAGTGATTACATTTTCAATGGATTGTGACGTCCAACACCCAGCCAATCCCGTTACGTTTTCTTAGTCACGTGACGTTTGTGGCGCTCATACTTAAGGAAAACCAGCATGACGGAGCCGGTGTAGGTACCAGATTGACTCGGGCTGCCAGATTGACTCGGGGGGCCTGCGCCTTTTGATGACGTCACAATACATAATTGTTTTAACGTTTGCACAATTGCGCAAAACATTTTGATTGGTCTGGACAGCTTACTAAAGTAATTATAGCGTGGTGTAGGTTTTATTCGAAAGCGGGATTGCGGTTTGTAAACAGACAATTTTACGAAGAAATTCTCCATGGTCCCTGCGCCGTCCGATGACGTCACCGAATTCGCCATGGGCCTTGCGCCTCCCGATGCCGTCACATTATGGCAACGCCACTCAAACAAACTACATTGAGCCCGCGGTCTGCATTTGTAACGAGAATAAATTCAGGAGAATGAAGCTAAAGGGATACAAAAAATAAACTTGTAATATTACAAAAACAAAAATACTACGAATACAAAGGGGCGCAATGTAGTTTGTTTGAGTGGAGTTGCCATATCGTTACGAGTGGCGTTGCCATATAGTGACGGCCGAGTTGCCATATTATGACGTCATCAAAAGGCGCAGGCCCCCGAGTCAATCTGGCAGCCCGAGTCAATCTGGTACCTACACCGGTCATGCAAGCTAATTCTAACTCAACGGTGAATTTATTACTTTCATTTTTCTGTAGTTGAGTTAGCGTTAGCTAGCATGACCGGCTCCGTCATGCTGGCTTTATTTCAGTATGAGCGCCACAAACGTTACATCACGTGACTAAGAAAACGTAATGGGATTGGCTGGGTGTTGGACGCCACAATCCATTGCTAATGTCTGTGACCTGAAGTAACCCTTCCCTTTTTTCACTGAATTTAGACGCTGAATTTAAGAAATATAGCCAGTTGAATCTCAGGAGGCTGAAATTTGAATTTTGAAAGGATGAATTTTTTTATATGGAGAAAAATTTAACTGAAAAATAAGTATTGAAATTTTAATCACTTTGAAATATTAATGTGAATTTTTAGCTTAAAGAGAAAAAAACAAATGAAATTTCAACTGTGTAGAAATAATGACAATGAATTTCTTTTTAGGTCAAAAATTTGTTCTGAATATATTTTAACACTGAAACAGTAAGCACAAACATACAACATTTAAATTTCAGTGGCATTTTTAATTCAAATCCCAGTGACACACATTTACTTCCATAATGGTCAGTTTGGATTGGAAGATTCCTTATTAAGCGGCCGACAAATGCAGCCTTCTTTGTGCCTGTTTTGAAGGACAAATCCGGTGTATCCTCCGTAGCCTTGGGTATCCCATGATTCATTGCAAGTTCATGCTGAGTCATGTTTCGACACGTCCCTCTGATGGGAATCAATCATGTCCGTTTAAGGGGGAATGAATTCACAGGTTTTATTTTTAATCATAAACATTCCTTCCACTGGAGTCTCCTAATGTTGTATCATGGCTCCTTCACCAACACTGATGTTAGAAAAACTCACAGTGACCCGTGTTTTCTGCAGTCACTTATTTGACTTATTATTTTATAACTCAATGTAACAGAAATTAAACCCTTGGTGAAAATGAAAAACCTCTAAAAAGTTTCCACAGGTGTGTTTTCCACCATCTTTATTCTTGTCCCTCAAACATCTCCAGGCTGCGACTTTGTTCATCAACTCATCCGTTAAATCAGTCACGCTTTGGCTGCGGCCGTTAGCTCCTTCAGCCTCATGCTGTGAGTCAGGCTTTAAACCCTTTTGGTGATGATAAAATGTACTTGGAGCGCTGGGCTGGTGAGTCAGCGGTGTGTTTTCTCTCCATGTGTAGGTAGTGTTTTCTGTCTCTTGGAGACAAGCCTTCATTAACTCTGACAAGCCTTTCTGTGTCTGGCTGCTGTAAACCAATGATTGTCAAACACTGAGGGGGGGAAAGTCGGCGTTGGAGCGATGTTTGACAAAGGAATCACGGATCCCACGCCGCCCCCCCCCCCCTCACCCACATCTCGGCTCTGGCAGCCTCTGTTGTTTCAGACGGCACAGAGACACGTCTTATCAGCATCACCCTGCATCGCCCACTGCGCGGGGGAATGCATCAGGGCCCTCTCTGCTCATGAATATGTGCAATCATTATGAGCGCTGCTTTGCATATGTACAGCCACTGTCTCCAGGATCCAGATTGAAGAGGCCCATTGGGGCCCAATGGTGCCTCTCTGCATAACTGAGCCTTTGATCCCAAATCTATCAGAGCTGCGGTTTGACTAACCCTCAAGCAGACAGGCACAATGAATTATGGGAGCTCATTACGTTTCTCCTGGATTTAGAGAAAAAGTCTTAAATGGGAATCGGTGGAACGTCCCTGTGAACATCTGTTTGGTTGGAAAACGCAGGAGAAGGATCTTCAGCTTGATCAGTTCCTAAAGCCTTAGTCACAGCTTGACCATTTAGAACAGATGATGCATGACGCACACAAAAAATGGCCGAAAAGGCTGGCACACGTAGGATAAGTTATGGGTACGCTGAAACTCGCTGGCACATGTCGATATACGGTGACATATGGCGAGTACGCATGCTCAAAATGTCCTGACGTATGCCAGCATACGCCATACGAGCGCCATTAGTTCAAGGTCAGTTATCTGATCGTTACTCTTTAGTCGTGGCCTCTGAGTAACTTGTGCATAACTTCTGAGTAACTTATCCAGAACTTCTCTCTAACTCATATCAGCGTATCTGACGTGTTCCAGACAAGCGCTGAACGTGTTTCTAACTTCCAGCTACTGTATAATGGCGTATTGGCAGCGTTTTGGTTTAAAGGGGGTTCACAGGAGGAAACCGTCAGTTCTCCTCGAGACTTCATCCCCATCATAGGGGGAGCCAGAAGGTGAGGGTGGTGAGTCGCCCCTAGAATGATGCACAAGCATAATTTTATGCCCATGAAATTATGCACAAGTTAGGCTGTCGATGGACAGAAGTTCTGGACTTGTTATGAATATTCTATGTAAAATTGAAAAAAAAAATCAATTAGGCTGCTCAGTGGAACAGTGGGTAGCACTGCTGCCTTGCAGCAAAAAGGTTCTGGGTTTGATTCCCAGCCCGGGGTCTTTCTGCATGGAGTTTGCATGTTCTCCCTGAGCATGCGTGGGTTCTCTCTGGGTACTCCGGCTTCCTCCCACAGTCCGAAAACATGACTGTTAGGTTAATTGCTTCTCTAAATTGTGCTTAGGTGTGTGCGTGAATGGTTGTTTGTGTCTCTGTATTGCCCAGCGATGGACTGGCGACCTGTCCAGGGTGGACCCCACCTCTCACCTATTGACTGCTGGAGATGGGCACCAGCACCCCTCGCGACCCCACTCGGGACAAGCGTCTCAGATAATGGATGGATGGATTGAAAAAAATACATAAAAACTTCAGTGTATACCAGCATTCTAGGAGATTCTGGAACGTCGGGCGTATACTGTCTAAATCGGCAAGGTGTGACAGGGCCCTAACCTCACTGCACCAGATATTTGCTTCCTACCCTATAGCAGGGGTCTGCAACCTTTCATATCCAAAGAGCCATTTGGCCAAAGTCTGACTGAATAAAAGCTGTTAGAGCCAAAAAATATAACCTCCCTTTTTCAAAAACATACCTTTTTTTATATATTTTTTTTATTATCTCATATAGGAAATTAGTTGCCATCTTAAACAACCAACAAATTATGTATTTTTAGCTTTAAAAACAATATTAAAACACATAAATTCCAAGTTAATTAAAAGAAAAAATGCTCATATGCCTTAGTAGTTTTTATAAGACCGAAAAGAATGACATAAGACTAGTGCATTATTTAGCTTTTTATATATATTTTAGCCACTATTAAGAGCCGCTGTAGAGGATCCCAAGAGCCACAGGTTGCAGAGCCCTGCCTTATAGGAACAGTAAATCCCTGCTAGTGTCGGCTGTCAGGTCTCCTGAGCAGCTTCACCAGAGTTCTGATGGTCTTGTTTATCAGAAATCGGATCCATTCATTATCATCTCAAAGTGACAGCCACTCCTGCTGGAAGGGAAGTTTTGAATGGGGAGGGGGTGCGGTTGCAGAGCTTGGATCATGCGTGGAAGCAGCTGTTTAACCTCTGGATGCTCACCTGGCGTGTTCCTCCGGAAGCTTCCTCTGTCGTTGCATATGAAACATCAAGTCTCCGCCGTTCACGTATTCGATCACCAGGAACAACCTGGGGAAAAAACGGTCAGAACATTTTGACTCAAACATCAGGTAGAATCGGACCAGCGTTACACAGGATTGGGCTGAATAGTGTTTGATTTATGAAGTGGACTAAAGTTCTGATCCGTTCTGGTTCTGGGTGACGCCTGCTGCAGAATCAGGAGGGATTTACTCTTAGTTTACCCCTCAGTGTTTTTTTTAGCTTTGATGTTTCCATTTAATGCAGAAATCTAGTGACATCTAGTGGTATAATGTTGTGTCAGCGCATAATTAAAAAGAACAAGGTCAAAGTTCAGTTCAAAATGAACTAGATCATGTTCATTGTTCACTTTTTCAAAAATGAACTATCTTCATACACCTATAAATGAACTAGTTCATGTTCATTTGGTAAATGAAGCCACAATCCTCCACAATAGAGCCTCATATTTCCACCTTTATGTGTGATCATAATATATAGAAAGAAATGGAAAATCCTGGATGCAGTCAAGTTTTACTGGATGAGCAGTGAAGTTTTTTTTTAGCCTAATGACACAGAACTTCAGAAACATTCAGCAACATTCAGGTTCTGCTGAAAAGATCTGGATCAAAATCATTTCTTCCTCATTCAGCAGCAGGTATTTCCAAAGAGCTCAGATGCTTTAAATGAGTCTCTTTGAATTTGAGGTGGACGTTGCTGATGTACCAACTTGTTTAAGTCCAGGTGGGCACAGTTTGAATAAAAACGTCACTTTTTTTCTGTCCCAGTCTTCCTTTGTTAGTTGATCAAATTCTGCCAAGCGCTCTGCTAAACTGACATTAGAAATACCAGCAGATGAGTCTGAATGGAGCAGACTAGAACTAGCAGTAGAGATGCTGCTCCGTCAGCTGTTTGCCGTAATAAATGATTTTATCTAATGAAAAGTGTCGTTATCAGTTGAACTCTTGTCCCCAGCGCTAACCTGTTCAGGAGCAGGTTTTCTTCAGTAAACTCTGAATCTGATATGTACTAGCTTTACTGAATATTTATTCCTGACATCTGAAAAAAAAAAAATTTTTCTTTGTCTAAATGACCACTTCAAACCAAACTACATTCTCCATATCTAGAATAAACATTCTTGGTGTCTATAAATTTTTTTTCAGATCTCCATATTCCTAACATTACTGGTCAGCATTTGTATTTTACCTTTAAAAAAATATTTTTCAGATATCATAAATCAATTTTCTGTCAAGATGACAAATGTCAGAACGGCCACTTAAAATGTATAAACATTTCTACTGTAGATATATAAAAATGAATTCTTACAAGTTTTTTTTTTTTTTTTTTTTTTACTTTTTAACATTCAATTTCTGCTACAAAAATGTCACTAAAATATATATTATTACTTTTATTATTATTATCATAGAGATCTACAAATGGAACAACAGAGAGGAGAGTGCTTTCAATAAAAGTAAAAACGGCCTGCCATAGAGCACTTCAAAGAAACTTATGCACAAACTCCAGCAGCAATCTCCTCTTTAGTAGCTGTGGCGCTGTTTCTCTGTCTAACACATTCTCCTTGTTTTGTTTGTTTGTTTTGCATTTCTTCTCTAAAATCTCTAGTTCCTTGGGGGTGAAATAAGCACTTCCTGTTGCCTGTAGTCATGGTAACTCTTTGAATCGGTGCTCCACTGTTAATAACTTTTCATACATGTTGTTCACACGCTTAATTCTGAGTGGACCTAGTTAAAATAGATTGAACTGATTGATAGCAGCCGTTGTGAAACCGAACATTTGCAATTCCCCAATTTAACAAAGATCAATATAGAGTTTCGGATTTGAATCTGAATTTGTTAAACATGCTTCAAGAAACAGACCCAAGCTCAGCCTCTGATGTAAAGGTTTCTTAAACACCTGTTAATAAATATAAGAGAACTTCCACAGTAAATAATAAAAAATGACTCCAGGTAAAGACTACATGGTGACATAATTCATAGAAAAGCAGATTCCAGCTCTTTCCTGCTTCCATCTTTGCATAGTTTCTGCTCAAACAGCTGGAATCAAAAAATGAAAAGCACACAGGCTACCATTCAATGCTGTTAGAGATCTAACAGCTGATTTACCAACTGATTATAAACCATGAAGGCATAAAATATCAGGCTCTGACTGAGGAGGCAACATTTGGAGAGTAGACTTTGGGTTTGAAAATCTCCTCAGGGTCTTTGAGGAACATTTTTATTGCAAAGGCATTTCTCACATCAGGAAGAGGAGGTGTCGAGTACAGAGAGCCGGAGAAGTGCGGGTCGTAAATGAGCAGCGTCAGTCTTATCTGACTCTTACCGACTTTCTGTCTGGAAACAGGAGTGGAGGCCGACTAAGAATGGATTGGTGGACGCCTGCTCGAACACATGCTTCTCTGTCTGCACCCAGTCGATATCCTGCAGGGAGGAGTGGAGATGGACAGAAACGGGGAGGGGAGATAATTACAATCAATCCGTCTGATCGATAGGCTTCCAGAGACAGACATAGATCCTCCAGAGAGCAGTCAGCGTTCATGCTCGCTGTAATTCAGACTGTTTGCTTCTTCCAGCTGTCCCGGATAAAAGGCTGCGCTGTGACTGATGGCCGAGAACAAAGCAAACGTTATGAACTGATCCTGCAAAGTTAGTGAGTCACATAATGACGGGCATTACTGAGGCTGAACATTTCCCTGCGTTCAGACCTGTCCCACACATTAATCACCTCATTATTTCCTTTTTCATTTATAAAATAACAAAGTATTGCCTGAGGATTACAATAAAGCCAAATTAATGCAATTTATTCTTTTTGTTGTAAAACATTTCCTCGGTTAAAGCTACAGAAGAAAGACAGACATCAGGAGAAACAATCGGCCCTCTCTGATACCTGCAGGTTGTGCTGAGAAGCCTGCAACTAAACAAATCGATTAATCTGTTGATTATTTTTTTCGATTAATAATCAGATAACCAAAGGTTCTTTAAAGAAGAATTTTTACAAAATTAAACCAAGTGAAACTCAAACTTTTCCACTTCAGGAGCATATAGAAGTACGCAGAAGGCCGCTCACTCTGAGCCTGGTTCTGCTGGAGGTTTCTTCCTGTTCACAGGGATTTCCACTGGTTCCTCCGAACCAGACTTGGCCTGGAACTGGCCTCAGGGAACATTCACACCCAACAAAAAAGCGGAGCGGAGCGACGCCAAATTACACTGCAAAAAGTAAAAATCTCAATAAGTGCTATTTTTCTTAAAATAAGTGCATTTTTTCTTGAATTACGGGGGGTGAGAAACTTTGCCAATGGAAGAAGAAAATGTACTTTTAAAATAAGAAAAAATAATTATATTGTCTTATTTCAAGTGCATATTATCTAATTATCTTATTTTAAGAGCTAAAATACTAGGGATGGAACGGTTTATGAAAACCGTCCGAACCGTTCGGTTCGACTGTCTCAGTTCGGTTCGCGTGTGTTGCGTTCGGTTCATGCGCTGCTCCTTTTTCTCATAGGGGAAGCGTTTACACTCCAGAGCAGAAGGTGGCGGTACTGCGACCAAAGCCAACCACCGGTAGTAAACAAGAGGAAGAAGAAGCGAAGCAGCGTATCCGGGTGTAGCAGAAAAAAATCGGTTGTTGTGGAGAATTGTGTGGGTATGGCGAGTGGGAAAGAACAGGAGTTGGAAGATGCACCAGCAGCACTTTATAGGTCTGCTGTATGGGAGCGCTTTGCATTTAGAGTGACCTACGATGACGGCGGAAAGAAAGTTGGGGATAAAAGTGCAACCGTGTGCAAGCATTGTGCAACACGTTTTGTTTATGCTAACAGCAACACGACCAACATGTCATGCTAACCCTGAAATGCCACATACTCCGTCAGCGCTCCGCCCCGCTGCGCTCCAGACCGCCTGCACAAAGCAAAGCCTACAGCCTCCACTGTGGCTCCCGTCCTCTCCGCTCTGAGTTCCTTGGAGATGGTAGAGGGCATGCGCCAGATGATTAAATTCAAAGCAGCAAAACATACGGAAATGATCCAGGGTTTCCGCGAAACATTTAAAATAATTACAATTCATTAATTTCTTTGGATTTTTTCATTAATTTCATTAATTTTCATTAATTTTTATTAATTTTTTTTATTTTTCGGTGTAACAATAAACATATACCAAACCAAAAACCGTGACCACGAAACCGTGAACCGAACCGAACCGTGGATTTTGTGAACCGTTCCACCCCTAAAAAATACTAATTCCATTGGCAAATCATTTTATTTACCTAATTAAATTAAGAGTAGATACACTTGATTTAAGACATTTTTACTAATTTTTAGATCGTTTTTGCAGTGTAGGACGTAGAGCCTGGTCCCTGATGGACAGTGGTTGCAGAATTTCCTCTCTATATCCTTCTGTAATGAAAAAGCCTCCAATGTTGAGGCAGAAGCCGCTGCTCACCATCACACTACAGAAGCCGCTACGCATCGGCAGAGAGGATTAGCCTGATTTTTCACGGGTTTTACCTCCATACATGCTTAACAAGTAAGACATATTTTAAGGCAGTGATTCTAAAAGTGTCTTTTCTATGAAGGCAGATTTGTTTCTTTATTATTCAATAAAAAAAAAAGGTTGCTTAAATCAAAAAATATATTTTCAATTAAAAAAATCTTCAACTTTTCAATCAAAGAAAAAAGTATTTGAATGCAAAAATATATTTGAGACTCAAAAAAACAAACTTGAACACTGCTTTTCTTTGACTGAAAATGTTTTATTTGATAGAAGTCCAGTCTTTTTTTGTTTAAAGCAACTTTTTAAATTGAAGTAACATTGTTTTTTGATTGGACCATATAATGGGTAGGACATTTGTGTCTTTATTATTTAATAAAAAAAGAAGTTGCTTCAAATAAACAAACAAAATTAAAAAAATAGAACTTCAATGAAAAGATAAACGTTTTCAATCATAGAAAATAGTTTTTGAATGCAAATAAAATATTTGAGACTCAAAAAAATGCATTTGAACACTTTTTTTTATTGTTGAAAATGTTCTTTTTGGTTGAAGGAATCTATTTAGTGTTTGGGCCATACATGGGGAGGACGTTTGTATCTTATTCATTCAAATCCCAAAAAGTTGTTTCAATCAAAAAAAAAAAAAAAAAAAAAAAAAAAAAATGAAAGAAAAAACTGTGCAAATGCAAAAATAAATAAATAAAAAATAAAAAATTACCCCATGAATATTTTTTTTTTTTTTTTTGAAGTGAAAGAAAAAATTCAAGTTCAAATTGTTTTATTTGAATCAAATTGACACAAACGTTCCGCAGTGGGAGGGTGCTTCTCTATTGGTCAGACATTATTTTTCAGAACGACCTTCCTTATACCTCTGTTTAATTCAATTTGTATCTTTTTAGTAGCTGAAGTGAAAGTCCTGTTCTGCCTTGATAGGATATTTATCACTAATGATGTCTGAGTTTATTACACCTTAATATTACCTGCCTGTTGTGTTTCAGAACTAATGTTTTCCTCAGTAGTTTATCTAATTAGGACAGTTCCTCTGCCTGGATATACAGCTATAACCTTCATTCTGCAAGTGGCAAAGATTTGTGAATGGAATCAGAGCGCTGTCCTTGATCTAAAAACAAAGTAATATTCTGATAAGCTTGAGCCACGGATGTCTTCTCATCTGCAAACGTGTATGATGTAATTCAATTCAATTCAATTTATTTCTATGGCGCCAATTCACATCATGTCATCACAAGGCACTTTACAGTTCACCAGATCATCCAGTCAGATTGATTCAAAGTTTTCTATCTAAGGAAAACCAGTTGATTGGTCACTCACACTGAGCATGCTTGTAGCGACAGTGGAGAGGAAAAACTCCCTTTGAACAGGAAGACACCTCCAGCAGAACCAGGCTCAGTGTGAGCGGCCATCTGCTGAGGCTGACCGGGGTTCAAAGGATGTGATGATGTGAGACTGGCGATGTATAAAATGCTTCTCTAACTGTTTATCGGGGCCACTTCCTGAGAAGTGAGCCCAGTGGGTGAGCAGCTGCCTTCTGTAACTCTAAGCAACTTCTCTGATCTGACTAAGATTACAATCTCTATCAAAATCAGTTGTCATGTCTCCTGGTTATTTAATACATATAAATTATAAAGTGTTATTTAAAGAGTTTGTCCCTAATGATCTCTTTTTGGGGAAAAAGAACCAGAAAGAGAAAGCTTGACGGTGTAAACACAGAGCTTTCCTTTAACAGCCTCCATCATTAAATCCTTCCATAGCAAACTGTGAGACCATAACCGGCTGCACCAGGCGCTCTGGTAGCATAGCTCAGTTATTAGCCACTCTAAAAATTTTATACAGTGATTCAGTTGATCTCTGGGTCTTTGGGTGAAAATCAAAGGTTTTGTAGTTTTTCTGTTGCTCATGGAGCCAAACTGCATCTGGAAATGATTCTTAGTTTAGTTCTTCCTGTTTTATAACGGAAACCTCTTTAATTCAGGAAATCTCATTGAGCGTTTTTGAGACTGACACCACAGACCTGTTCTGAACTCTGAAGCAGATAGAATGCATGACAGATGAAATCTTGTTGTGTTGTTCTGAGTTAATGTGATTATGAACAAGTGTGGGGGTGCAGCCAGAAACACTGGAGGGCCGCTGATTTAGGAGAAAATAAACAAGCTTTCCAACAGAGAGCAAACTGCCAGAAGCAGTCATGTGAAGTCAGGGGAGGGAGTGAATGACGCAGGAAACAACAGCAAATAGTGATAATAGTTGAAAACTATTTGTCCACTTAACCATTTTATTTATTTGCTTATATTTATTTTAACATGTGAAAAATCAATGAATTTACACATTTCCTGCAATTTGAGATTGTGGTGGGCGGAGCCTAACCCCTGATGTGTCCCACAGACTGATAGAGATGGTTGGTGTGTTTGATTACATTCAGGGGCGGATTTAGGAAATATGGGGCCCTAGGCCAGGGGTCAGCCATATTGGACCAAAAAAAAAAAAAAATCTTTCTGGAGGCGCAAAGTCTTATTTAAGTGTCGTAGGGCAACACAGCCTCTAAGTGTTCTTTCCCACTATAGACCACCCAGTTTAGGTTTTTGTCGCATTGCTGACATTATAGAAACACAATAAAGGAATCTTTCTATGGTGGACATTCTCTGTTGGGAGGAACTAATTGAATCCTGAGGAACCAAGCAGGAACTGAAAATAAAAACAATCATTTTCGTCTGGGAGCGGCCATTTTTACCCAAATATAGTAACCCCTCCCTCCTGCCATCTTCCAGCAGTGACGTCACGGTGCGGTTAGCCTAGCGCCATTCTCCCCGCTTTACAAACAAAATCAGTGGGAACTACTAGACTGGGACTTGATCAACAGCCGATACCGCACCGTGACGTCACAAACCGCAAGGTGGCAGTAGTGTTCTTTGACAAACATG